ATGGACCACATTGCTCACCTGAGTGACTTTGGCCCTGCTATTTTTCATCATCAGATTTTTTTCCCCTATATTTATTCCCATGTAAAACATTGCCTGTTGTGGCCCCACCCTACCCCCGGGGGTCATGATTTGAACAAATTTGTACCTACACTTCCTGAGGATGTTTAAATATAAATAAGAATAATCATGCCATTGATGTTCTTGAAAAGAAGACTTTTTAAAAGATTTTTTTCCTATATATTACTGTGTATGACCTTGATCACATATTGTTGCCCCATCCTACAACTAGGGATCATGATTTAACAAATTTGAATCTCCATTACCCAAGGATGCTTCCACATAAATATGACTTAGAATGATGTTTGTTTGCCCTCTCCCGACTCATGATAAAAAAAATTCGGTTGATGGGTAGCTTCGAAAATTTTTCCCCCAAGAAATTTTCAATATCAAAGTTGAATTTTCAAAATCTATTAAAATTGAAGGTATTCATAAAATTTAAATATTTGTTGACAGGATGAGGAAATTCCAGAATGAATAAAAAAATTAATAATTATTGTTTCCCGGAGATTTAAAAAAGTTTTAGGTCAGGCCATTCTTGGCCAGTTGGTCGGGAGAGGGCAAACAAAGAATTTTTTTAAAGATGGCCTAATCATACCCTTCCTAAGGATTTTTCCTATATATTCCTTAGTAAAACTTTGATCCCCCATTGTGGCCCCACCCTACCACTGGGAGTCATGATTTGAACAAATTTGAATCTACACCATCTGTGGATGTGATGCTTCCATATAAAAGTGACTAATCACTGTCTTTGCTGTTCTTCAGCAGAAATTTTTTAAAAGATTAATTCCCCTAATTCTTATGTAAAACTTTGATAACTCCTTCTGCCCCAAACCTACCCCTTGGGGCCATGATTTAAAAACAAACTTGAATCTAACCTACTTGGAGATGCATCCATATAAATATGACTAATCATTGCTTTCCTGTTATTGAGATGAAGATTTTTAAAGATATTTTTTAATGTTTTCCAATGTAAATCTTTGATTTTCTACTGTGGCCTCACTCTACCCCTGGGGGTCATAATTTGAAAAAACTTGAATTTACATTATGTAATGAAGCTTTCACATATCTACCAGTAAGTTTCATCTTTTCTGGCCCAGTGGTTCTTGAGAAGATTTTCAAAAGATGCCATGAATTTTTCATTAATTCGTTCATTATGTCTGCTTGAAAGAGGGCATGGCCCTTCATTCGAATAAACTTGAATCCCCTTCACCCAAGGATGCTTTGTAGTAAGTTTGGTTGAAAGTTGCCCAGTGGTTCTTGAAAAGAAGTCAAAATGTTAAAAGTTTACAGACAGAAAGATAGACAGACAATGAACAAAATGTCATCAGAAGCTCACTTGAGCTTTGCGCTCAGGTAAGCTAAAAATTCTTTCATAAAGAAAGCACTTTCAGAAGGAAGTTTCTGAACCCCCCCCCCCCCCCCCCCAATTTAAATAGTTAGATGAAAATTGCAAAGCAGATTTCTTGACCAAATATAAAATCAATCTCTTGTGATCCACAGCAAAAATTTCTGTACACATCCAGTATGTATGATTATTATATTTTTATAGTATGTATATATTATGGTAATTTATGGTGATACTAGAATGAGAGAGCAGAGAGAATCAGTGAGTAAATGTTTAATAAAAATCCACATTTACACATTGTATACTTATAGTCAAGAATTGTAGTTTGAATGGTGGAAAATTAAAAAAAAAAAAACGTTTATTACATATTGCCGGCCCCACACAAAGGGGTCAGGAGAGGTTACCACAGGGGGGCTGGATTACACATATCAATGTGTACATCTTCTATTCAAAAACCTTTAGTGTATTCACATGGTTTGAGGTTAAAGCTCTATGTAACAATACACTAAATTTCTCTCCTTCTCCCCTAAATAACTGTGTAATAGGCTCCCAATGTTTACATTCATTTTTTTGGTAAAACTTGGCAATTTGCTTAAAAAAAAATTTTTTGGCAGCAATTTTTCTTTCACACATCATGTTTACCACAGATTAAAATTTGAGGCCAATAGAAAAACCATGTAGCACTATTATGCTCCATTTTCCTTCAGAAAATAACTCAAGGTTACTCCCAGGCTGTGTATCAAAGCAGAGCTTTGATCATTAATGAAGACATCATTTTTACCAGGTGTTTGGGACAAGTTGATGTTTTATGATGGCAGAGAGTGGAAACTCTCCACAGGATCCATACAAACTTATCTAGGCTTCGTGATTCTGACATCTTATATCTATTTCTCATCCCTCTCTTTCAAGCATTATGGAAAATTAATATTTGTCTCATTACCACTAACAATTATATCTTAGACTTCACAGTCAAACTTTACAGCATTATGTACTCTTTTATCATATAAGTTTTCTTTACATAATTGTCATAAATTCAGAATAAAGTATTTAACTATGCTCTTATTCCATGTACTGGTACCTGTATTAGTTTAAACACTATGATCATGCTAATTGTAATTGGGTCAACTTCTTTTTTCTCTTGAGGAAGTTTTGCAGTTGTTTTCCGGAAAAATATTGGTGAACAAAAGAATTTCTAGGAAGTTCAAAAACACATGTAAAATAACCACATTTAAAATATATACATGTTCAATTAAGTACATGTATTAAGTTCCTGACATAATAAATCAAAAAAAAAATCCTAAATATCCAAACAATATATCATACCAGTAAATCATGAACAAAAAGATTAGTATTTAAGAGAAAAAATGTATGATTTTCATTTGTAATTTCTATTAAGGCCACTTTCCACAACAATGTGTGTGATACACATACATGATAAGATGTTTGATGTTTTCAAACTAAACAAATATATGCACAATATATAAACTACATCTTTTTCTTCATTGATGTAAATATGCTGTAATTGTTGTCTTGCTTCTCAAATCTCCAAATTGAGGAAATAAAGATTGAATGAATGAATGAAAAGAACATGTATTAAGTTCATGACATAACAAATCCTAAAAAAAATTTTATACATCCAAACAATATATCATGAACAGAAGGATTATTCTGAAGAGAAAAAGTGAACGGCAAATCAATAATTGCAAACATGTTTCTGACACCATGTTAGTCATTACCAGTAAGTATGTAGTACTATACTCATATGTATTTGGTACACTTCTTTTATGTACAATATGGGCCTTTTTTTATCAGCTAACACTTATAATTAACATGTCAACATATGCAATGATGCCCACTGAACTCTAGGAAACATACAGTCTATAAGTCTCCTTTTTCAGCAATGCTGTATAATCTGTGTAGAGATACATATTTACTTTAAGGGAGGTGCCAAAGTAACAGAATTGGGTGTCATTTATTAGGTTTGACAGGTGGGAAAGACATCAAATGTATTAATGCAAAACCTGATCACAATCCAATTTTACACAGCTTCATTGCATAACTCAAGAATATATGTGTGAGAAACAAGCAGATGTACAGAGTTAAAGTTTTAATGACATCTTGACCTATGGATTCATGTTACAAATACCTTTAACACTGCACTGATGTTGCTTTGTAGCACATACAAGCACTCCATACCAACAAACTCATAACTTACAGTGCTTGGAAGTTCAGTAAATTATCTCAATGATATCATTTTGTTTAACTCTTTTTTTCATCAGATGGATATTTTTTATAAAATTATTTGTCTTCGAATATTTGTATGAAACTGCCTAAAGTAAGAGTTGATAGAAATTAAACTATGGCTGAAACACAAAATTTTGAGAGTTTTGACCCCCAGTTGTGGCCCTGACTCTAGTTCTGTTGACAAGGACATAAATACATTGTGCATCAAAAACTATTTTCAGCACCTGTCCAATAGAGCTTGTATAAATGGCAAAACCACTAGCCCAAATCACATTTTTTATTAGCCAGATATCAACCGGAATATGAAAATCATTAAGAAATTTGTATCTATTTAATAAAAAAAATTCATACAAAAATGTTTGCAAATAGATAATTAAAAGAAACTGATCAGAAGATCTTGTTTTTATAAGAAGATATGGCTGAACTTGACAGGTATGTTACAATTTTTTTTTTTTTTTTTTTTTTTTTTTTTACAGAAACCCAGTTCTGGCAAAAGTTCATATTTTACTGTATAAATGCTGAATTTCCAGATAGAATAGAATGACAATGACATATTAAAATAAGTTTCCTGAATTTGAGAAATAATAGCTGTTATACTAATCTGGCATCTGATTAGATTGTTCAGGGACCTATATACTATATATAGGTCCCTATTATTTCATATTTATATTATTATTATATTTTTGATTTCAAGAATAATATGCATGGAAAGAAAAATAAGAAGACGTCATATCTTTTCATTGAATTGGTATCAAACAAGAAGATCTCGAAAAGAATACCAGCCTGATCTAAAATTAAAAAGTAATTACTTACAGGTCACTGACTTTCCTATATAATGGATTTAACAAATTTAATTTTATTTTTGGCTAACAACATATTAATGTGAATTCTTGCAATTTGAAATAATTTCTTATATAATTAGAAGCTAACTTCAGACAACATGGGCATGGACAACTACATTTTGTTTAAAGATAAAGTAAAACATTTTCATTCATTTAAAAGGTACATTGATAGAAAGATAAATATAAGCTGACAATAGTGAAAAGGAAAGAATTAAACTTATGTGTATTTACTGGATTAGAGAGTGGGTCAGACTGACGTGCACTTTCAAGGACTGACTATATTATTTATGACAATTAATCCTCTCAGCTGTGTAAACAAATAGTAAATTGTTTTCATTCTTTAAAAACAAAAACAAGTGCATATATTGTCATTCTACTCAAGCTACTAAACTAAAGGTCAAGTAGTACTTTTTGTGTAAGGACTCATTAAGATGCTGAAGCTGGGAGCTTCGAACAGGGATCAGATTGTTAATTTTTTACTTATGTGACGGAACTGTATAAGGACCTACCCTCTATACAGACGACGTGCTCCCGTATTTGCTGCTGAATAAGGTGATCCGGTATTGCATCAATCAGGTCATAAATAGCATAGATAGACGGATGAACACTCTCAAACCTCTGTATTTCCTGTCGGATGGCCAGCGAGTTACTTAGGTAGGGCTGCATCGGGGTCCGAGTATTCATCATGTAGTAAAAACAAAATCATCTTGTTTTGATTAATTTCATGGTTGAGTTTGACAGAGGATGAGAAATTATGTTTTACTGAAAGATGTGTTTTAGGAATACACAAAAATGGCCTTTTGCATCAATACGCATGCGTTGTAGGAAAATAAAGAGCATGCGTACAATATTATTTCTTTACATCCGGTTCACTTCCTGGTTATCACACCTCTTCCTGTAGAAAGACTGTATTTCTTTTTATGTGAGTCATTTAATGAGAATTATCATGTTTCCAAAAATCTTAATTACTCCGAGTTTGTGATTTTGGCCTCATGTATTGTCTTAAAGGAAATAAAAGGAGCGATATCCACGATGGGCACCTTTTTAGATATGTCATACTTCATTTTATTCGTAAACTTGTTCTATTGATATTTTTTGACAATTTTGGGGGGGGGGGGGGTCATGTGAAAGATAGATTCTATGGTTGCAAAAGGATTTTTTAAATTAGGAAATTTTAAAAACATTAGAGATTATTTAAGTATTACTGAATTAAATTCAATGTAAGATATCTCATTTGCAGACAGAAAATATTAGGACCTGGCTAGGTCAGCACAGCATTCTGCATGCATTTACTGTATTGGGCAGGGTAATATTTACCAGAGACATTAATAAAATAGATATATTCATTTATGTTTCTCCAATAAGGCAATTAAGAATTCAATTTGAACGATTCTCATTTGTAAGTGGAATATGTTTAAGGGAATATATAAATAAAAGAATTTTTCTTCAGTATTAAGATTTCATGTGCACAGCTGCACTAAAAACATTCATGGTGATATTGTGCTTGCTATTTAAAGTAGGTTATCCAAAATCTTACATTTCTATTGCATTAGATGATATTGTTAATAATATTTTAGGAAAAATATAATACCTTTATTGAACAAAAAATTACAGATTGTCATTTTTTTATCTTAATCATAGGACATCTTTATAAACAAAAGCGAAAAACACAGTTTGCACATGGTATGTTCAGGTGTTAAGGCAGTTTAAATTGTCCCCTTCAGTGAAGAGAGACATAAACAAGTTGGGCATAAATGTAAAATCTATAATGAAATAAATTTGCACTGCAAGGCAAACTGAACCCCTTTTAGGGTGAAATCAGAAATTTATGTATTAGCACTGGCACTAAGTTACTTTTTATCATTTTTAACCCAGCCTTATGAAATTTGGTATTTTAATGTATCATTGATCAAATGACATTGTGATATGTACCATCATGTCCCCACAACCTTGGCAAACCTTCCAATCAAATTGACAACCTTGTATGCCAAAAAACCTGTCATTTAATCATACCATTTTGAAATATGTTATCGTTATATGACATAAGATGATGCTTCATGACTTATGTCAGTAACCTTAATTTACATTTGACCACATTTATATTACTTACTACTTTTTGCCCCTCTTATATCTTTTAACATTGGCGGGTAATATTTGACATGCACATGTAGGTATATTGTTGTAAGAAATGTGTCATGATTAACTTTAGTCTCAGAATTATTTGGAAAGAGGGAGGTGGGGTGGTGATTAGAGCTGGTTTACCTTAGAAATATTAATGGATCAATCATCATATTAAAAAGGATATATCATCTTCTAATATAAAATAGTCACATCATGTTAGTGAGAGATGGTTATACAATTATGATTACTATTTTTAGCTCACCTGAGCTGAAGGCTGAAGTGAACTTTTCTGATCAAAATTTGACAGTTGTCTGTCGTCATTGTTGTTGTCGTAAACTTCACATTTTCATCTTCTGCAGAACCACTGGGGCCAATTTCAACCAAACTTAGCACAGAGTATTCTTGGGTAAAGGGGATTCAAATTTGTTTAAATAAAAGGCCACACCTTCTACCAAAGGGAGATAATTAAGAAAAAGTAAAAATTGGGTGGGGTCATTTGAACATCTTCTTCTCAAGAACCACTGGGTCAGAAAAGATGAAACTTACGTGAAAGCTTCCTGACATTGTGTAGATTCAAATATCTTCAAATCATGACCCCCGGGGCTAGGATGGGGTTACAATGGGCGAACAAAGTTTTACATAGGAATATATAGGAAAAATCTTTAAAAATCTTCTCAAGAACAGCAAAGCCATGCTTAGTCATATTTTATATGGAAGCATCCTCTGGTAGTGTAGATTCAAGTTTGTTCAAATCATGACCCCCAGGGGTAGGGAGGAGCACAATGGGCAATAAAAGTTTTCCAAAGGTATACATGGGAAAAATCTTTAAAAAATCTTCAAGAACAGCAAAGCCATGAATAGTCATATTGTATGGAAGCATCCTCAGGTAGTGTAGATACAAATTTGTGCAAATCGTGACCCCTAAATGTAGGGTGGGGCCACAATGGGCAATCAAATTTTTTACGTAGGAATTTATATTAGGAAAAATCTTCTTATCAAGAACAGCAAAGCACATGATTAGTTATATTTATATGGAAGCATCCCCAGGTAATGCAGTTTTTTCAAATCATGACCCCCCGGGGTAGGGTTGGCCCACAATGGGTGATCAAAGTTTTACATGAGAATATATAGGAAATATCTTTAAAAATCTTTTTCCCAAGAACAGCAAATCCATGACTAATCATATTAATTTAGAAGCATCCTTAGGTAGTGTAGATTCAAGTTCGTTCAAATCATGTTCCCAAGGGATAGGACAGGGCCACAATAGAAGATCATACATAGAGAAATAAATCCATGATAAGTCAAAGAAATATGGAAGCATCCTCAGTTAGTGTAGATTCAAATGTGAACAAATAATGCCCCTCCCCTTTTCCCTGGGGTGATTGTGTTTTATGCGATCACTTATTTATTTAATCTTTTCAATACTACTGCTTTTTCCTGGCCAATGTGCTCAGGTGAGCGATGTGGCCCATTAGCCTCTTTTTGTTTTTTATTTCAGCTGGTCAGTATGAATGTTGATCATGAAGTCAAATTACTTATAGAGGAAATAAAGCGTCTTGGCACACCCAGTAAGTGTTATATCAGCAAGCTTGTATTAGTCGGAAAGAGTAAAGCACTGTTTTATCTGAAGTAGATCTTTTACTACAAGATGGGTCACTTAGCCATTTTTAAATTGAGAGAGCGCAGAAAGAATCTAAGCTTAAGACTTGACGGATGTCATCAGATCATCAGAAACGGGAAATGATACTTATCCAGTCAGTAATTCTTATTTCATTTACATGCAAATGGCAGTAATAACAGTTTGACAATTAAATGTTAAGCATTTACTACTTATATTTTTTGGTGACTAAACCAAGTTGTGATGATTAAGTTTTCCTATCAACGAGATCATTTTTATAAAAGAAAATGTCAACCTAGTACATTGTAGTGCATATTACATAATACAATCTCAGATGAGTTGTGCTTATAACCAGAGAGCCTGTAAATTTCATTGACAGAAAAAAATCTGAAACAGATGAGTCATATTTATAGGCACCCTTTCTAATTCTGGCCAAATGGTTTATGATAAAATTGTAAACATAAAAAAAGAACAGCTGATTCAAGCCAAAAAAAAATAATAATCTGAGACTCGTGAACATAAAATAAAGTCCACAAGACAGACTTATATATATACATGTATATTGATCACAAATTTCTTAATTTAAGGATATTTTAATTATTATGAGTATGACCTTGTCATTTCTTTGTAAATTTAATTTTATATTCGATTTCACAATTAAATGTACTCACTAAATTAGACGTATTTATCTTGTTTATGATTAAGTCCAAAATTATGGCTAAGAATGATTAGAAGTTGTAGACATCCCCCTCCCCCAGTAAAAACAACAACAAAAAAACCCTTAATTCAAAAAGAGAGGAACAAAAGGAAAAGACATATACATTTTTGTAATCTAAATGTAAAATTATTACTGTACATATACACTAGTCTCCAAAATTCATTGGAAATAAATTTGTTCTCTTATTTTGTTTGTTTTTTTTGTTTGTTTTTCTTTTTATGTTTTTTCTATAAATATTTTTTTGGCTGTCTATTTATTCAGACTACAGCTTACATATTTATTACATATTTACAGTCTGTGTGGAAGTACTTATTAATTCTTTTCATACTTTGAAAGATTCAGATGGAGATGTGTGTGTGACATTTGGAACCATGTTTAACGATGACAGATGTGCCAATATATTTGAGGCCTTGGTAGGAACACTCCGTGCTGCAAAAAGGAAGAAGGTTGTAACCTATGATGGGGAGCTTCTACTGCAAGGGGTCCACGACAATGTGTCCATAAAACTTCTCAAAGACTCCGTATGATACTCATTTCTAGCTTTAATTCAAGGGACACAAATAGTTTGATAGTGCTTTCTAATTTTTGAATTTTTTTCAACTCTTAAAGTGCAATATATTTTTGGTATACGTGTACAATTAATATTTGTATTAATATCAACTTTTTAAAAGTATTTACTCTGTCATGCAAAGAGCAAGATTAAAATGACCTCAGTTGTATACATTATGTAATGTGATAACTTACACATGTATTTTTCTATGATGCATTTCTGAAAGATATAGCAAAGAAGCTGCATTTCTGGATTTTTTTTTTAATACTTAATTTTGTGCTTAAGAACTACAAGTGATATAATAATGCAAAAAATGATCACTACTTGTATTATTGATTAATACTTTTCTATTTTATTTCTAATTACCAAAATAAAATAATGATATAAAAATGTTTGTCTTGTACATGGAACATTCATTGTAATGTAAAATGCCTCATACACATAGAAGGCCAGATAAATTTTTTACCAGTTTTGTGCCAGGTTAACATTTAGAATCCCACTTTTCTGACCCAACCTTGCCGAACATGTTTTGAATAATTTTAAAGTTAAGTATAGTGCATAAGGATGTGTGTCTAACTGGAAAATAAAAAAAAAATTATGGCTGGACTGGGAATTGAACCCTTAACCCCTGCATTACTAGTTCGGTGTTCTTTTTTTTCTTCTTTTAATAGTTCGGTGTTCTAACCACTCAGCCATCCAGGCCAATATCAATGGTCAATATAGCCCTGACCACTACATTCCTCCCTCTTTAAATTGTCTTTGCACTTAAAAACACACAATCCAGATTCTTTTTGCCCTTGGCAGGACATCAAATGTAACAGGAAAGGAGAAAATTTATGGCTGAAACCAGAACCCAAGCATCACTAGTCAGGTATTCTAACCACTGATCCATCCAGGTCAATATCCAAGGTCCAACCCACTTCATTTGCATATTAATTTGACGAATTGTGGTATGGCTGTTTTTAAGACTTTCCCTTTATTATTTATAAATTTGAATATCTATTGTGCTGGTCAGAAAAAGCCCACTTCAGCTTTAGGTTCAGGTTATCCAAAAAAAACTTCACTGGCCTTGAACTACAGTGATCTGTCCTATCAGTTCATATAATTGATCAAAGAGGAACACTCACATTTTATAACAACAAATCAATGCCAATGGGATTTGAATCCTTCAGGCACTTCAATGGTGCCATAAAAGTGGTTTAAATTTACAGATAACCAAAAACAAAAAGACAATATTCACAGATTTATTGAGTTAACAAAAACTTCAAACATTTATGAATTAAAAAAAAACTACAATACATTACAGGTATAAAACAAAAAAATGATTTGGCAGTTCCACAAGTTCAACAGAGAGCAGTGTTACATCGGAATGACTTTCAGCAGAGCTCTTTAACTATAAACTACACATACACAGATGATAAACAATATTCAAGTTTTGATATATTAATCACGGGAAAAAGCATATTTTCTAAGGACATCTCTTTCCAAGCCTTGGTGAGATCAAGTTTAACAATATATTATGATGACATACGGTAATTGTTAAATATGTGTCAAATCTAGGTCTCATTAACAAAATTGGAGAATGCTTTTTAAGGAAGCTCTAAACACTAACAAAAAGTGTTTTTTGGACTTGGAGAAAAAATATATCATATAAAGTAATAAAGATGTGCATATTCAGAGTATTTAGTTCATTTTCAAAATAGGATACCTGCCTTATTTCCGCAGGAAAAATGTTCAAAGACAATGGACTATTCGTGAACAGAAATCACTGTTGTTTACTTACATTGGGAATATTAATGGAAATGATGAATTAAATTTCTTATTCTTGGTCTAATATAATGCTAAGAATATTTTAATCTACTACAATTTGTTAAATTAACTGCAAACAACCATTTTTTCTATCTTACCGGTACTTCTAAGAGCAGATCACTCTAATTGTATAAAACTACCCTACAAGTAGAACTCTTTAGTGTGCAGTGTTTAGAGCTTCCTTAAAGTAGATTTTTGACTATTTCATGTATAATACATCACATATATTCCTCACAATATCATCAAACAGCAAAATTAGGATAAGCATTGATCACCAATTTTACCAACTGAAGGAAATAATGCCATGTTAGAGTGAGTATTTCTAAAGCATTACACAACACTTCAGACTAGAACTTATCCTTCAGACTGATTCACAACAAATACCTTAAAAATCCTTACTACTGAGAATAAATAACTTAAGCCCTAAAGTTGGCTTAATGACTAAAAATCTACACATTAAATATTGCACGATGACAGAGTCTAAAATATCCCGAGTTGGTCCAGTATTGCACATATCCTCAATGTTTGACTACAACCTCCATCTTTTGCATTGGTATGATAACAAAAAAAATCTAACACACACAGCTTCACATCTTGGTATAGCAGTCCTTAGCACTGGTCCATATAGCAATTCCCTATATAATAAAAAAAAAAAAAGAAATTTGAAAATTAATTGGAATTGACTAACTTTATAAATCATATGCAATGCCTTTTCAAATGAAAGCTACAGTAGAAACTGTGTCCAGCACTACTTCAATACCTTTATTTGTCTTGGAAAAATGCTGAATTATATAGGATTTCTCTTGGTTTGTGGTTGGATATGATTTTTATCTAATGAGTTGTGTGTTTTCTATCTCCAAGTCTTGGTGAGGAGATAGAAAACACACGAGTTGTATAAAATTTGTATCCAGTCACAAACCAATGAAAGATTTTTTTTATCAAGTTTTACAAATAACTATCGCATGTTTTACTCTCTTTTTATATGTAAATCCACTTCATTTGACTTCATCACTTTTACTCAAAAACCATTGTGACGTCACAACTGCTCATATGAAAACAATATTATATGAGCTATATCCACTGTATAAAAGAGTGAACATGTGATCAAATACTTTTTCTGCTAAGAAATCAAGATTGATATCTGAGGACATGAAATACCTTTATTTAAATACCAAATCATGAGAAAAACAAGATGTGTTTGTGAAACACTGATGCCCCCATATGGCAGCTTATGGCAAACGTTAAAGTTTCTAAATGCTATTCAAACGTCAAGGTCAAGAGATCAAAAATGTTGTTACCCAAAGAAGGGACCTGTGTCAATGGATATACCTTGTAAATATGAAAGCCCAACCACCAACCATTCAAAAGTTATGGTCAAGGTTAATATTTTCTAAAATTGGGTCAAACTCCAAGGTTAAGGGATCAAAATTAATAGTATGCAGGTGAAGACCTTGTCATAAGAAATACACATGCAAAATATAAATGCCCTAGCACCAACTGTTCAAAAGTTATGGTGTAGGTTAATTTTTTTCAAAAGTAGGTCAAACTCCAAGGTCAAGGTCAAAATTATTAGTATCACATGGAGGGTCTTATCACAAGGAATACACCTGTGAAATTTGAAAGTCCTAGTACTAACTGTTCAAAAGTTATGGCCAAGGTTAAAGTTTTTTAAAAATTGGTCAAACTCTAAGGTCAAAGTCAAAAATATTTACACCCATGGAAAGGCCTTGTCATAATGAATATACATGTAAAATATGAGAGCCCTAGCACCAACTGTTCAAAAGTTATGGCCAAGGTTAACGATGGGTAAATTTTTGCAAAAGTGGGTCAAACTCCAAGGTCAAGGTCAAGAGGTCAAAAATGTTGGTACCCAATGGAAGGTATACACATGTGAAATATGAAAGCCAAAGCTCCAACCAATCAAAAGTTATGGGCAATGTTTAAGTTTTTGCAGACAAACGGACAGACAGACAAGGCAAAAGCTATATATCCCCGAATCTTCGATTACGTGGGCATAAAAAGTTAGTGAAACTGTTAAATATATGTATATCATATTACAATTACAAATGCATCAACTGACCTTTTTACATTGCTTAATTTGCATCACAGCATAATTGGTAAATATTTCTTTTAAATCCTTCACTTTCTGTCGCTTGAATCTATCAATGTCCCTCACAGAAGCATCAACAAACTTTCTACAAAATGCATGTTAAATGTGAAGACAATTACAAATCACAGTTTAAAAAAAAAACTCACATTTTTCTCAAAATACATGTATTTTGCTAGAAAACTAGAGGGTACTGTGAGCGGGCTCACAAAATACTACCCCTCACTGCAATTTCTTAAAGTGGCCATTCATATTTTGTAAATGTGACCCTGAACTTGCCAAAAAGACCTTGGCTAAAAAAAGTCATAAGTAATCTTTTAGTGAAATATGGAATCCAAAATTTCCCAATTTGAAAATTATAGCTCTGTCATGAATTTTACACTTTTTATACATGTAAAATTCATGACATCCCTCAGGTCATCATTAATCTTTATACCAAGTATGAGCTTCCAATGATTCTCCATTGTAAACTTATAACTTGGACAAGAATTTTATACTTTTTCTGTCAGTGACCTTGAACTTGCTGGAATAGCCTTGGTTTTAAATCAAGACACACCCTTGGGTCATAAACAATCTCTGTACCAAGTAAAAGCTTCCAATGATTCTCCATTACAAAGTTATATCCCGGACAAGATTGCAACGTCAGACGGACAAGGTGATTCCTATATAACCTCCCCCCCCCCACCCCAACTTCATTGTGGGGGGCATAAATACAACAACAAAAAAGCAACAGTGGACAATCAAAAGACATAATTTCACAACATTGACATATTTTTTAAATCTAATATACATCCAGCAAATGTACAGTGTATATTATACATATATCACATGGCTTCGAGGGTGACATACCAGAATGTTTGCCCCAAGGTGACAGGAAAGTCCTGTAGTGTTATGTCACCCAATGCCGAAGGCAGAGGGTGACATAACACTCCAGGACTTTCCTGTCACCGAGGGGCAAACATTCTGGTATTGTCACCCGAGAAGTCATGTGGTATATGTTATATAACATTTTTAAATTAAAAAATAGTCTAGAATTATTTAAGTTTAGGCAAATAATCCAAAAATGCTTTCATGACGTTAGGAATTGCGCTCCGTTGTTTACGTTTGCTTAGCAACCAACGTCATGAAATCGAACCCGAGTTACAAATGCGTAACATAAAGACACATGAAAGTGATAGGGAGGGTGTTATAACTGTTTCCGCTGGGTGATATAACTGTTTCCGGTGTGTGACATAACTGTTTCCGGTGTGATTCAGCATTCTTCAGGGTTTATAGTGAAACTTATTACATTTGTGATATAAAAGGAAAACTTATTAAAAAATGTTATATACATGTATATGTAGGACAAGTGACTTAGACACAAAACTATGTTTTGTCTTAGATACTTGGTGGTCATGCACATTTACATGTACTAATGTATATATGAGGGGTGGTTTTGAAGGGAACTTACTGAAGTTCCTCAGTGGTTGTGCGGAGCTCAGCTTGAGTTTGCTCAATCTGCTCCTCAAGTTGTTTGATTTTCTGGTCCCTCTGCTCTGGAGTGTCACTACCAAATATCTTGGACTTCATCCCGCTTAATGAGAATGTACCTCCTGTTTTACCTTGTTCCTGTTGATAATAAGAACAAATATAAATAACAAAGTCTGGAGTAAAATTTTACAGGGTTATTGCAAAATCTATTCAAAAGTAACCAAGTGCAAGAAATTAAGCCCAATAAAGAGGAAAATTTCCAAACACATCAAATAATCATGAGGAATATGGATATCACAAGTACCCTTAGTTGTTTTATAAAATATTTCTGAAAAGATATCTGTACCTATCAATTTTACCGAAATTTTCAGTAAATATAAAAAATATGTAATACCTATAATAATATCACAAGGAGTGCAACTAGTGTAAATTCTAAAAATGTACAATTGTTGAATAATATTTTCGCTCTTCCTTTTTTTTTTACTTGTCAAAGATTCATCGCTAAAATTGAAGACACATCATATTTGGCATGGACCCCCACCACCCCTTCCCCCGCTTTCAAGTTTTTTTAACACCTTAAACATAATCTAGTATAAATACATGCTTAATTTTTAACATATTATATTGAATAAATTCAATAAGGATTGAAAAACAGACAAACCCTTTATATACCCTTTCCTTGTCTAAAAGATCAAGACAACAAGGAGTACTTTTCCATGTTATAAAATATACTATTAATCAATTATAAAGATTCACAGGCAATTATCACTCATTAGTATTTTAGAAAAAAATTGAGATGATGTCAGACCTCTTTAATTATTTACATACTGTTCCATCAATATATAAAAAATTAGATTTATTAACCATTAAGTGTGTGTGTGTGTGTATTGACCCCCCTCCCCCATCTAATATCCCACAAATCGTTTAAATACCATTGCTAACTTAGTATGTAAAATGTTTTATATATTTTATATATAGATCTCATAGTAGACAAACAAGTACCCGTATTTGAACTTTCAAGGTAAAAGCTTTATCTCTGGTATCATATTGTATATGATTGTTCATTCAGGCATTATATGTTCCTTTTGGGTAAAACGACGCACATGTATTATGTCACGTAATGGCATCAAGGACAACCAATGTTTGAGCGCTGAGAAATGTCACTGCTGTCGTTGTTAAACAGGCATTTCAAATCATATGCATTTACAGACATAAAGAATGGTTCCTTCAAAAAAAGAATGGTTTGTGTTTTATAATTTTCAATTGAAATTTGATTGTGCAGCAGCCTCTATATTAACAGAGGGGTTCCCCGGTGACCTGGAATGCATTGCACGCCTTGTGTTATCATTATAGGTTTTACGTATTTTTTATATTTACTGGAAATTTCAGTAAAATTGATAGGTACGCAATCTCCTGTGGTACAGATCAATAAATGAAATGCATGATTCAAGGGAGATAACAGACCAGCATTTCCTTCTGACTTTTTTTGTAGGTGAGGTTGTCCTCTACTCGTTCCACATCATACTGAAGACATTCATACTTCCTGCACACTGACCTGTTAAAAATATTCCAGAATCTCACTAGCATGATTGTCATCATTAACTTGAAATGATCAAAATTTACATTGCATACTGAAAAGCAAATGAAGAAGTTTGAACATTACAGTTGAACTTCATTATCTCTAACATGAACATCTGGGACACCATGGTGAATTGGAAATCCCAACCACTTTACCTTAATATATTATATATCATACATGTACATGTATGTCAATTTTACAGTCTTTCATATACTCTTGTATTACTACATTTTTTCATGATTCAACTATGGACTCTGTCCTGAGAGAATTAATAAATGCTAGATACTTCTTCTTGAGGTACATGTATAATTGTTTGGTCTCTTTCTATAAACATTTATTTCCCAGACCTATAACATCAAAGGTAACAAAGGACAGCTATCAGGAGAGAGGTCCTGGCTAAGCTCTCCCTATAAATAACAATATATCATAGTTAGCCCTATAGCATCACACAGGGTGCTTTATATCTAACTGTTGTCTGGGTTTTAACAGTAGACACTGACCTGAGAGATTCAGCAAATGCTAGATACTCCTTAAGTTGATCAGCATACTGTTAGCCCTATAGCACCACACAGGGTGCTTTATATCCAACTGTTGTCTGGGTTTTAACAGTAGACACTGACCTGAGAGATTCAGCGAATGCTAGATACTCCTTAAGTTGATCAGCATACTGTTAGCCCTATAGCACCACACAGGGTGCTTTATATCCAACTGTTGTCTGGGTTTTAACAGTAGACACTGACCTGAGAGATTCAGCAAATGCTAGATACTCCTTAAGTTGATCAGCATACTGTTAGCCCTATAGCACCACACAGGGTGCTTTATATCCAACTGTTGTCTGGGTTTTAACAGTGGACACTGACCTGAGAGATTCAGCAAATGCTAGATACTCCTTAAGTTGATCGGCATACTGTTCCTCTTCTTCCAAAATCCCGTCCACACTCTGGGAGTACCTGAAACAGTGTCATCATTAACATTGCTTTTCTTTTATGTTACTTTGGAAAATAATACCATCTCATTCACAGAAAACTTTTCAATTTTAAAAGTTGAGTGAATCAAGACAAGGTTATCAGTATTGTACATAATACTAAATTTACATAATCACATTAAAGCTTGTAAAATGCCACAGAGAAATATTACAGTAAAACAGTTAAAAAAACAATCAGAGTGTTTTCAGAAAACCAGAATTGCTTCATTATACATTGTATAAAATTAATATTTTATTACTCTGTAGCATGGTGAACCTGATTAAATAAAAAGACTTTGCTATTACATATATTCACCTCTAGATGTTTCAGTTTACATGTAATTGTATTTTGCTGTGGATTTTCTTTGCAAGTTTTGTTGTAAGAATATAAAGATGGACAATATGTATAGTGACACAATGACCTACTTACACATTCATGTAATGGGAGGCACTTTGGAGGGGTTCTGACATGTCTTTTTCAATTCCACTCCACTCTCCAAACACCCGGCTGTAGTTCGAGTGAATTTTGTGAATTCCATAAAGTTTGTCAGCCATTTTCTAAGACAAAAATAAACAAACAACTACTAAAATGAAAATTAAATTCTATTTTTAAGTAAGTCTGAACTGATAAGAAGGAAAATTTTCATGTTTACAATACACATGTACTACACATATGTTATAATACCAATTCTGTACAGAGAAACTTACAGCCCTTATTTTGAGTAAGTTAGAGATGTTGCTCTCTAGTTCATTACAGTAATTCTTTAATTCCTCATACTGTCTGTCAGGGCTCCTCAATCGGAAGGAGGCACTCAGGGCCTTAATTCGAGACTCAGCCTGTAAACAGATTTACATATTATTGACAATTCATTAGAACACAATGTACAATTTCTTGATTTCTCATGAATTTTAAGTTCATAGCTAAATTAAATATAAAGGGCACCTGTCAGGTCTACAGAAATATATGAAATTTGTTGCAATCATTATAAAGTAATGTTGATTAAGGGAAATCAGAAAAGCTTGTTTTATGTCACATTTGCTAGACATATAGCTGAAATTGCTTCTTACCTTGCTCTGAAAGTCTGTAGCATAAACAGAGTCTTTCCAACCATCCTCCTGGTAATGAAAATGAGCACAAACAATGAACTAGAGGTCCATGGACCACAATGCTCACCTGAGTCACTATGGCCCTGCTGTTCTTCATCAGAAGATTTTCCCCTATATACTCCAATGTAAAACTTTGATTGTCCATTGTGGCCCCACCCTACCCCCAGGGGTCAGGAATTGAACAACTTGAATCAACACTACCCATGGATGCTTCCATATAAATATGACTTTTACATAGCTTTGCTGTTCTTAAGGATTTTAAAAGATTTTTCCTATATATTACTATTTAAAAATTTGACTGCATGTTGTGGCCTCACCCTACTCCCAGTGGTCATGATTTGAATAAAATTAAATCAACACTATGCAATGAAGCTTTCACATAAAAATAATCTTTTCTGGCGCAGTGATTCTTAAGAAGAAGATTTTTAAAACATGCCATTAAATTTCACTAATTCTTAATTATCTCCCCTTGAAAGAGGGATTGGCTCTTCATTTGAACAAATTTTGATTCTCTTCACCCAAAGGATGCTTTGTGGCAAGCTTGATTGAAATTGACCAAGTTCTGGAGAAGAAGATGAAATTATTAAAAGTTTACGATGACAACAACAACAGACAACCAACAAATTTTGATCAGAAAAGCTCACTTGAGCCTTTGACTCAGTTGAGCTAAAAATACACATGGTTTATGAACAGACAAATGAATATTACATTCAATTCCTGGTATTACATTCTTATAATCTGATCATAGTAATAATTTTTAAAAATAACATTTTACCTGCTGCATGAATCCAATGAAGATTTTGTCTTGTGAAAGGATAGGATGAGCAGCCACTCTCAGCATGAATATCTAAAAGAAACACTTAATTTGAAATATTTATTGTCATGAATCATTCATATGTATAATTTTTTCTTAGTCAAAAAAATTAATGGTTATGGATGTATTTTACACTGAAAAATTGCAAGCTGTCACAAATAATATTTGGATTACAGTATCTGCATTACATGTATTATCTTCCAATCACTGGTATACATGAAAATGAATCTGGAATTTGACCGTCTTCCATGACTGACAATTTTCTAATGCAAGACAATACAATGTTCTCTTGTAAAAATATATACTGGTAAAGACTTTCAGCTTTACCTCTAAAGCTGCCCTCCTTCTCTCAATGAATTCTGTGTCAAACTTGTCTGTGGAACTGTTCTGCCATATATAGGAAGCCTACAAAACACAAATTACCTCTTCAAAACATTCATACAGGAAAAGTTATAGTATTAAAGGTATACAAGCTATACACAGACTGATATTTCTGTGGGTGGGGAAAAAATCAACTTAGCCTTGTCTTTAATTGCTTAAATTGACATCTGCACCAGAACTTATGAAACATATAACTCTCTCTATTTATAGTGTATAAGCCAAGAAATTAATTGTGAATTCCAGCATTTCTTCTGCAAAAACTCAGTTATAATCCATCGAACAAAAAGCACACCCTCACACACAAAATAAAATAAATAAAAATAAAGAAGGTATGTTAAGTTCTATGCTGTATTCAAATTACTACTAACAGAATTTTCAGAACCTACCTTTTTCTCAGGTAGAGGTGGTACAACTACAAAGGGGTAACTAATGGTCAGGTAATTCTGTAGTAGTTCAAATTCACTGTATCTTCTCCACAAGGACGAGGTGCCATCTCCATTGTACTTTACATTCTTATCTGTTATTCTAGAAAAAAGACAAATTGTGTGACATTGTCATTTGAAGCACCAGTATAACAGGTGGGTTTTTTTCCATTAACAATCAGCTTACTATAACAAATTTCATTAAGGTGAAAAACAGTATAATGTACAGTATAAATAAAAATGGGTTATTTTAGCTACTGGCAAACTTAGCGATTTTATCCTAAAAGTGGATAATTATTATTAGCATAATAGAATATTTAGCATTTTTATGCCCTGGATCGAAAGATCCCAAGGATATATTGTTTTTGTCCTGTCTGTCTGTTTGTCTGTCTGTCGTCAACTTTGACCTAGCCCATAACTATTGTGCTGTCAAGGGTAAGGCTGTAATATTTGACATGAGTGTCCATTATGACAAGACCTTTCCATTGGTACAGACATTTTTGATCATGTGACCTCAACTGTGACCTTTGACCTACATTTGAAAAACTTTAACATTGGCCATTACTATTGCACTGTAGTCTACGTTCCACTCCAGAATTGTGTTACCATTGGGGGCATAGTGTTTCACAAACACATCTTGTTTAGGATAATTCTATTTATTTTGTCAAACAACATTTGTGATTGAATAATTAGTGACATTTATTTTTAATAATGCCAAAATTAGATGGCTGCTAAAAATTCCCCTTATACAGTATAATGGTTGTCTAATATACATTATCAGGTCATCCACAGAAATACATACTTGCATTTCACTTATTCAATTTCAGTACAGTTACATACACATTGTATAGTTACAAGAGGCCCATTGGCTACAATGCTCACTTGAGTAGATATGACCCTTCTGTTCTTTATCAGCAATTTTCCCCAATATGTTTCTATGTAAAATTAAGATAATACATTGTGGCCCCACCCTACCTCAAGCCCCATCCTTCCCCAGGTGTGATGATTTGAACAAACTGAGTCTGAAGATGCTTCCATATAAATATGACTAAACATAGATTTGCTCTTCTTCTAAAGAAGAATTTAAAAGATTTTTCATAAGAATTCCTATGTCAAACTTGATTGCCCATAGTGGCCCCATCCTATTTCTGGGGTCATGATTTAAACAAATTAGATTCTACATTACCTGAGGATGCTTTCATATAATATGACTAGTCATGAATTTTAAAGATTTTTCCTATGAATTCCTTTGTAAAACCCATTGTGGCCCCATCCTACCCCTGAACAAACATGAATCTATACTACTCCAGAAAGCTTTCACATAAATCATCTTTTCTGCTCCAGTGTTCTTGAGAAGAAGGTTTTTAATTTACCCCACCCAATTTTAAATATTTCCTAATTATCTCCCCTTGGGACAGGGCGTGGCCCTTCATTTGGACAAACTTGAATCCGCTTTACCCAAGGATACCCTACAACATGGTTAAAATTGCCCAGTGGTTCTGGAGAAGAGGATGAAAATGTGAAGAGTTTATGACAAAGACAACAAGAAACAATGGACAAATTTGATCAGAAAAGCTCACTTGAGCCTTCAACTCAGATGAGCTAAAAAAAAATTATTATATTCATACATGTATGCATATTTTGAAGGAAAGTCATTCATGATTGTATCTTGGATAATTTATTTTGACTGAGATTGTTTCACTTTTCTTTTATAAATAAACTTCAGAAACAATATATGTGTATCATCCCTGAATAATATTCTCTTTCAAAAAACAAAAGAGGATAAGATGCTCGTTAAGTACACTCTGTGTCATAAGTTTCTGATTTGTGTGTTAACGTGTGATTGTTTATATCACCTTGTTTCAATCAAGTATACAATGAATGTATCCTGGACTTTCATCGATGTAACTATTCTCTTCTCTGGTTCAGCAACCGAGATCTCCATCCATTGCAGCAGGTTTTTCTACAGAATTGTAAACAGAGTTGTTATAATATTACTGAATCATCCTCAAAAAAAATGTTCAAAAAACTTTAAACATGTATCCATATTTCTACAGGTCATCAAGAGGAGTCAAAAAATAATTTTAAACTTTGCTTGTATTTTCCTTCTGGGCCCTTCATTGGTTAAGAAAGTATTTAGTTTATTCTAATCTATCACAATTCATGAAGATTCACATAGATATTTATTATTCATTTACTTCTGTATTGAGTCAATGACATTTTATTTGCAGTATTGCAGCAAGGTCTTAAGGCAAAACAAGCTGTTTTCAATTTTAAGGGACTTTATTGTTATGAGGACCAAACCAGAAGTCTCTGACATGACTATAGCTCTAAAGGTGTAAACTTATAATAAATATATATCTTAGTATAGTCTTATTATGTAAAAAGTCTAATCAGACCAAAAATGTAGGAGGAGTAATACTTTAGAATAATTCAAAGAAATTTCAATTTGTATACAGTATACTATAAAATGGAGGAATATGGAAGAAATGGAGAAATACAGTAACAGAAGTCAATAATTTTGGGTTTTTTAGGATAAAATTCTTTATAAATTTGTAAAAGTAAGGTTGATAGTTTGAAATTCAATGTTTTTAGTCTAGTATCCATATTTATGTAATATTGTGATTATTTCAACACTTAATGGGTTGTTTCTTTTACCATATTTATATGGTTCCAAAATGTTATGCATGTCATTCAATGCACCACTATCGTTAAAAATTTATCTGCAACAACAATCAGGTATTTCTTGTTTGAAAATAAACCAGGTACCTTTGTTTTGTAATAGAATTATTTGTAGATATCTCATTTGATGCAATTTTATTATCAAGTTGTTATTATTCGAGAGAATGATATATTGCTATTTTCTTTTGCAGATGCATCCACCGCCGGTTCTGACGTTTTCCTGGCACGTTAAATATCAGAATCGTGAAAAAAGCCTGGAAAACGTCAGATATTTCGGACTACCGATACACATGATACGTTTCGAAAAACAACTTTAACAAGTACACACAATTGTAGCGATGCATAAATTAATACATTCAGTTGAAAGGCTTTTGCACTAGATATAGTTACTTTTTACCTTCCCAGCTTTTCTAGCATTTTCAAATGGATCTTCTTCAGAAGAATCATTAGATAAACCCTCTGGTGAATATTTTGGAACCGTTACCGTATGATCGTCGTCAGCCATGATGACCGGAAGTAGACAATATTAGGCAAGTTGTTCAATAATGAATTTAAAATAGGACACGCCCCCTTTTCTAATCATATACAAATTAGAGATGCCTTTGACAATAACTTAAATTATTCAAAAATCAAAAGCAGCAATGCTAGACCTGTTAAATACAATGACTTAATTGTTGACCACATTAATCAAACCATTCTTATGTTTATCAAAGAATGGAACATTTGGAGTATTTTCATATGCACCCTCTATTAAATGGAGACTTAAGATAGATGTCTTCAAATAATATATATAAAACAGGGGAATTTTCTTTTGTTCACCTTAGCCTAAGGTTTGTTTATACTTTCTAAGGCCCAATTCAATTTGCTTCAGATACTCATGACTTTCCTACCATTTTATGGGGGCAATTAATTCATTGCATGTTTCATAAGTGGCCCGGGGTACAAGGTCATACATTTTTTAAAACTTTATGTAAAAATTAATAAATTGTCCAAACCCCCTTCCTCTAGGTCCACACATATTCTATGCATGCTTTTTTTTCCAATTAATATCCATGTGGTGGTATTTTGTACATGAAGAATATTAAGAAATTCAAAAATTTTTAAGTGATTACTTGATCAAGTGATTAAACCATCACTTGCTTTGATTGCAATAAAGCTGATTTTTTTCTCTTTTGAGCATATCAATAAAAATTCTCAGCTTTAAGGAAGTCAAATTTTTGGGAGATTTTAGAATTCTAAATTCTGTTACATCCAACCGACAGAGATGAATTTCTTATCAAGGGCTATAGTCACTAGGCCACTATTGTCTGCACAGGATTACTTAACACTTAAAGCACCAATGCATAAAATACTTTTTTCCCCTTTATGAACCTTCTGCATTGATTATCTTTTGTATTCTGTATGACTCTTCATGTTGAAGCTTGGGGCCAAGTTTGATTTTTCCATGACCTGTCATAAGCTTAATTAGACTTACTTATCTTCTCCATGGTCTGGAGGACACATAAGGCCGTCATAATCAGAAAGCGAGTAAAATTGCTTGGTAATTCAAAGGATACTCTGTCTGGTCAACATGTGCACAGACAATAGATTTGGTACATATCACAAAAAGATATGTTACCTTAAGTTTGTAGATGTAGAAATCAAGTCACTTAAATTCTTTGGGTCCTAGACCTCAATGTCTAGATAATCCTCTCCAAAGGCAGGAATTAATCTATGACATTCCCAAATTTTAACAAACACATTTTTCATATTGAAAACAATTTATTGATAGAAAAAAGTACTTTGAAAAGTAATCAACTATACATTCCAATCACTTTCTTCTTTTAAACTCAACCCCTTTCCAGTTCATAGAAAAAAAAAAGTTTTGAAATTAACAAGTTCATTCTTGATTGATCTAACTACATTCTGAAGATAAATTTTAATTGAAAATCCAAACAATGAAAAACAAACTTCAACAATGTTTTATATGCTCTGGCATAAGTAAACAATTAGAATCATATCTTATTGCATTCATAACTTGCAGAGGTAGGCATGAAGAGTTTCATTATTTCATGCTATGAGAGACTTCTTGATCAAAGAACCATTTACAGAGGGAAAGAATAAAACTGAACAAATTATCACAGTCTACTATTACAAGCCAATGCCTTCAAACTAAAATTTCTTGCTCCTCTAACCAACCTAAATTCATTTACAAAGTCCATTGTCAGTCTAAGCTCTACACCGAAATACACCTAGTAAACTAGTGTCATCTCACTGTTCACCAAAATACACCTAGTACAGAAATGTTATCAAGCTGTACACCAAAATAGACCCAGTACACTAGTGTCATTAACATACAATATCAAACCACATCTTTGGCATAGAGCAATCCTGTTGTCTTGGCCATCTCTCCACAAATCAGGAAGTTAGGAATATAGAATATCTGTCATATAAAATTCCGTTTGTAATACTGAAAGTTAAGGCACACTTATATTGCATTTACCAGAAAAAGTTTTTGACAATATTTTACAATATACTTTAAATGATACTGAAAACTTAAAAGACCTGAAAATAAAGTGTTAAAATCAGATTTTTTTTGTTGTTAAGGAAATGGAATTTAGTTGTACATTAGGAAAATTCCAGACCTCAGGTGATATGTGGTGACCAAATCTTGAATATATCTTACTACTCATTCCATGATCCTTCTACATTGTAGCACTAAAGAACGTCAAGAAAAAAAGTAAATATTTGAATACATAAAATACTAACTACATATGTGCACCAAACAACACAAATCAGTGCTTTCTGCTTGTGTTGAAAACTCGAGCCATTTCTTCAGGGTTCCTTCCCCAAAAATAATGAAGATGATTTTAATTACTGTTAGGTCTTATTGGAAGACAAGAACACTATTTCACGCAAGATAAAAATTTAAATATTATTGCAAAATATCTTATTTATCAGTATTTTTAATAGAAAGACTTGTTAAAAAGTACTCATGACTTGTACTTAAAATGAACTATATTTTTCTGACCCATAACCTTGGGTACAGACTTTCAGAAAATTCTGAACAGGATTGCTGAGTTTGACCAAGTATGGCACCAATGAAACAGTTTAAATGGCAAGTATGATGTTAAGATAATAAATTCTCAAATATTGTCCCCCAAAAAAACAAGATTTCCCCTCTTGGAAACATGAACAATATATTAAATACATACACAAAACTGTTCTTAAGTATTAGGTAAAAAGAAAAATTTGGGATAACTTAATTATTTACCAATCTGGGCAACATCACAATATCATTTTTTCTTTGTGAAATACAAAGAACATACAAAATGACAATTTCAAAACCCTGTATACCTTTGACACAAGTCTACAATTTAATAAACTTCCCTGATTTTTTTATCATTTGATTTCTGAAGTTATTCATATATTATGCATGTATTTATTTTCAAGGGGCAAATGAACAATAATATTATAGAGCATAAATTAAAACAGACAATCTCCTCCATCTCTTAGAATCCTATTGCATAATATCCAGTTTGTAGTCTTCAAATTTTTCTATCCATCCTTCAAAATTTTGGGCAACCACTACTGCTTTATCTAAAGTACTACTCTTTCTCCTTGGATTATTATCATCATAATAAAAAAAAATGAATGCTGTTTTTTTTTAAAACTGAAAATATCCTGTCAAATGACCAGAAAGCTCCAATACATGTAGTAATTAAAAAAACCCTGACAAAGTGATTCCATGATAAATCCCTGGGGTAGTATGAGATGCTTAGTATGAACCCATTGGAAATCCTATTTTCTCTGTCTATGCAGGCACTGAGGTTAGATCTGTTGTCATGGTTATATCTAAACTATATCTGGCATGATATGAGCATTATGTTTCAATGAACATTAATCAAATTTAGGAAACCTGGCAATGCAGGAAGCTAAGCAGATTATTGAGTTACAGTCAAGCTTACACACACAGTGCTATGAACAGAGCCACGGGGTCACTTTCACAAACTTATTACATAAGGTAGTACCCCATTTACAAAAATATACCATAGAACATCTATTTTTAATCATATTACTGACCAAATTAAAAAAACCCTTAATTTTCAATCATGACTGCCAAAGCAAATTTATATTTAGTTTAAAACTTGCTGGAAAATCTAACCTCAGGTTCTACTACCACCAACACAAGGCTAAAAAAAAACAGAAAATACCAAAGAATGACACCATTAAAATAAACGCTATCTGATATTAAAAACTCACAAAAATCTAAGTAACAAAACATGATTATTAGTTGAAACTAAATACATACTGTATAATTGGCTAAAATACCCATTTACTACAAACATATACATTTCTACAATACGAACCTTGAGACTTCAAAATTTGCATCAGATGCCTATATTTGCACCATTATTCTGTACTTGTATCACAATAAAAGGGAAAAAAAAGCTTCTGAAACTTCTCTGTACAATCATTTTCTATAAAATCATTTCTTAAACTAAATTAAATAGTTACATCTGTCATCTAAATCTTGCATGGCTATACATAAGTTCAAGATAGCAAAGAAAATTAATTACTTAAGAAATCTTAATTTATCCATTCAAAATCATCACAAAATATTCAATTTTCTTTCTGAATATGACCCAATCTGATATTCTCTATAAACCATTTTTATCAGAATGAATGCTTTATAACGTCCTGTTAGACTACCTGAAACAGAGTTACAGTTCTTGATACAACATTTCAAAGTACAACAACCACGGTACATTGACCTAGTGTCTTACTATGTCCAGCTAAAACATTACCAAAATATCAAAACAAATCAACATACAAAATAACTTGTTTTGTCTTCTTTCTAAAGACACTTATAGTACAATTTACACTCCAGTTATTCTAAAATCTCGAGTTAAATATTGCTCTTTTTTTCAGCAATAAAAAAGCTGTTCTCTTTTGCAACAAAATCAAATCAATGGTTAAAGGACAACATACATCTGACAAACATCGTCACTGTTATCCTGAGAAAACACTAACTACAGATAAAAACAAACTAACCACAGATTAAATATATCACCATGCAATAATTCTGAGTATATATACAAACTTTTAAGTAAGAATCACAAAATATCACAAACACCAGTAACTATAACGATTATAGGCTAAATACAACATACATAAACACTTGTGTTATCTGTGCTAAACAAGTAAATATAATGTAACAACATTGGTCCATAACTAATATCAGTGCTCTACATACAGTTAAAACTGTGAATATATACATGGATTTATAAATACTGAACACATCTAGCAAATCTATGTAGTTCTCTGTTTTGTTTATATGGAGGCTATAATTTAATCAAGTTAAATGAGAATAAACATTCAGAAGCTTGATTAGCAATATACAGATATGTTGAAAATATCACACAATTAGATACAAAAATATAGTCAAACAAGCACTAAGTTTAAAATGAAGCACCTAAGGAAAAACAAAAGGTATTGACATCTTTTTCTTAATTTTTCACAATGTCTTTCCTGCACTTTTGCTAAATTTTTGCAGTTATTACTCATGCATTAATTTATATACAGTATTAGTTAAATTGAGAAAATGTTATTGATATTTTCACATTATACAAAGTGTTGGGATATACATGTATATATAGTAATACTGTCCAATTATTGTTCTCCTGTCACTTCTCCATGTCAAGTTTAATCATATCAATAAATAATACTCTCATGGAACAAATTTATAAGTATATGGAGCTGTTTAAATTATTTCAGAGTGCTTGTCAATTCTAATTTTTCACCTTTTAAACAATATTTATCCTAAAAGTTTCAAATATGTAAATTTCTTTGCCTGTTTTATTATTAAAATAATTCTCTTTAGAAAAGCAGTATTTATGAATAAACTTTCTGGAAAGCCTCTCAAAACATCTACTGTTAAGTGTTTGTAATAAAAATATCCCCAAACTGCATATTATCATCAAAAAGGTTAAATCATAATACACAATATTAAAACACCTTAAAAATTGCCACCAAAATCAAATAAATACAAACTCAGTGCTTTTCAAATCGACACACATGTATGACAAACACATTGAAAATCAGAAAATGAAAACTACAGACATTCTAATCATTTGTTATGAGACTAGAAATTTAGTTGCACCAATAAACATTTAAGATCTATAAGAAGCAGAACATGTGTGTATTGCATATCAAATACATGTAGAATTTGAGTAATGACCAGAGATCAACCTGTGGTACTGGAGACTATGATAGGGGGAAGGGGAGTAGGAAAGGGGGTAGATTTTTAAATAGGGACAGAGGAAAGCTGCAATATTAAATAAAGCACTAACATAGCACTCATCATCCAGCAAACAAAATCACAATATCCTCCATAATCTTAAGGATTTGTCAATTCAATAGTAATACAAGTTAAGAAAAAGACAACACTCCATCTCTATCTGATTATTGATTAATTGTCAACCTGTGGGGAAAAAAAAAATTGCACATCAATGTCATAAATAGCATGGGTATCAAAGGGAGACTACTGACTAGGAAATCTGATTATAAAAATATATTTTATCAAGTAATACCAGTGTTTTTGATTCTTGTGGATATTGTCTCTCAGAATACTGTAAAAACATGCAGCGGGCAGTTGACCACATATACATATTATTGGTTATACTATAGTACTGCTAATTCCATTATTAATGCGCATACTACTAATTAATTGATTAATTGCTGTGGCTAATTAAGACAGAACGAAATAAACAGGACCTGAACACTACAAGAGATATATTAGTTAGATATGTAAGACTGCTCCTGGGAGCTCTGGATACCGATAAATTCACTAATTTCCCCTAACTATGAGCAACATTTTTGTAGCAGTATAGTAAAAAAGTTTTGACAGTATACATGTCAATTTGTTAAATACTATTGGATATGATGAACAATAGATATTGCCATTGCTTCAGCTACATGTACAAACAAAATGTCACCTCTAATTCATGTGAAAAAATGCCAGTATCTGAAGTAAACAACTTATCATATTCATCTATTTTCCTTATTGTTGATAAAAACAACCTACTCAAGTCTTGGTTTAGATTGCTCATTTGAGCCCAATCTTTGATTGCTAAATATTAGGCACATTTTCTAAGCCCTTCTTCACTAAAGGAACTATTTACAATTTTCTTGAAGCACACAGTATAAAAATATACAAGCAACTAGAATCACAAATACAATGTACAATATTGATCAAATACAATGAAAACACACAACCAACAACAATAAATATGACTGTGAATATTGTAAGCACTGGAATGAATCTTTTTCTAATGTTCTTTTCTTAGTATACAATTGTCACAAGACTGTATATCACATTTAATTAATTTCAAAAACAATTAAAATAGGGATTGGTCAACATGACATGAATTTTGTGCAGAAAAATGAGATTCAAATAAAGCAGGATAATTTTTTAAAAAATATTTGTCAACGAAACAAAAATGCATCAACCAAATACAGTTATCACAGAACAGTCATGGTTTGCAAAATAACAACTGAAAAATTTCTGCCATTTCATACTGTCTTCTACCTACCAACATGTAGGCTTGGGGACTGTTACACAATGAAAATCTATAATGTACACACAAATTTCTCAGATCTGATGATGTAATTTTATATTTTCTTCATATACAACTTGTGTAAATCAGGATGAAAAAAATCTCTTGACATTAAAATTATGCTCTACAACAATCATATTTTTAAAATTACAGGTAATTTTTATAACAAAAGCTGAAACTTCAATAGAGTAAAGTGATACAAGTATCTGAAGGGGGGAAAAATATCATTAACTGAACTAATTACACTCATGTAATAATTTACCTTCACAGAGTACATTGTATATTCCTGATAATCAATTTAGCAATATATCAAAACTAATGATAATAATATATAAAGTAATGATAATCAGAAACAGTCATAAACCACGTATTTAAAACAGGAAGATCATCAAGGTTCCACTACTAAGTAATTCATAATTAAGTATTCAAAGTTCATTTCCTCATTAGATTCAAAGAGAATAGTATGATATGTAAAATTCATTGTCACTGATAATAAAATTACATTATTTTCGTTAACTATTTAATCAATCAATTCTATCACCAATGTGAACTCAATTAAGTGTATTAAAAAATCATCACATTATGACAGAGTTAGTACATGTACTGCAAATGCAAGCAGTTCTTTTGTTAGATTCAAACACCCAAAAAAATAATAAAATAAATAAATACAAGCATGGCTGTTGCAGAATCCTTGGTTTGACAGAGGGTGACTCAACACTGCAAGTAGCACCTATCAGAATATCACTTTCAAATATGACTTGTGTTCACCTTCATGTTTAAAAATACTTTGTACAAATCCTTCATTATTTTATAAAGCCAGTGGCACACGTTGTGGACAAAATTCTACTATATAATAAATCATTGTCTAACACTTTAAATATTACCTTGGAATAAAGTAACTGGAGATATATTTTCAATCTTTTTTAAAAGTAAATTCTTTAAACTTTCAACCTACATAAAATTACACTATTTCATTCTGACTCTTGAATTCAAATTTAAGTCCATCTATTCTGCCATTTTCAGCTGTGAGACAATATGCATACTTATATAAGAAGGCAACCCTCCACTTCTTTATTGATTTAACACAAGGTTAATACATAAAAAGATGACCTTTTCTCTACCCAAATACATCATATAATAATCAGGCATATTCTAATCTATAGGCATGATAGATCAGTACTAATAAATGCTATATCTATGAACCATGTTTAGAAGCTAATAATAATAACACAAAAAGCAGAAATAAAGACTGGCACAAAAATTCCAACTCCATGACAGCAGTAAATGTTCTGCCTTCCCTGATGTTTATTTCTCCTCTGCCTTGGCCTTACTATCTGTGTTTTCAGTTTCCTCCACTCCATCCTGAAGCTCAATGACATTCTGTTGTGACACATACACAGGGAATCCTTCCTTGGTGATTTCTGTTTTGATCTCAAAGCCAAGAGAATTGAGGGGGGCATTGTCTTTGTCAGCCATTTGAAGAGCACACCAGTTAGCTGTTCTTGCCTTCTTACATAGAGTAGTTAGCTCTCCAATGCTGGCTGCTAGAGCTAGGACATCTACAAAATAACAAAAACAAGAATGACCTGTGCTACATGAATACAATCATAGTCTTCACACACTAAAATCTAAATATTTTTTGCTACTTACAAATCTTGATCTACATGTATATTCAAAAACTAAATCTTGGTCATACAATAGCTATGAACATTTATATACATGTATTTGATGTGTATAAGTTTACTGGAAGGAAAACTTTATAGATTTTTTTTTAAGTTATAGGTACATCTATCTGAATAGAATAAAATTCAAATCTGACATATTCAGAGTCAATGAAATGCCTGCCTTTGTCTTCCTGGTGGCGATTTCCTACATTCCTGTGGCGGTTTGTGGCATTTACTATCTCCTCCTTACGGCGGGCCTGAACTTTACGAATTCCTTCCAGCCACCTCTCCAGTGCTGAGTGAATGTTTGGATGTAACACAAAATTACGTAACTTCTCCATTTTGTCCACCAGGGTTATTATCTGTAATAAAATAACTTTGATTTTTCAGTATTTCTTGCATTTTTTCTAATTAGCAAATGAGCATTGTAAATTTAGCTTGTATGTGAAAAAAATCAACTTGGATTCTAACAAGACTGAAGAAGATTTGATAGTCTCTTGTTTTTGATCTTTGAGATTTTTGCTCTGAAAATAACCTACCCTGGCATGTTCCTTGAACGAGTCAACAATTAACCGATCTACACGAGAAGGGTTGGAGGGTAGGCGCGGAACTACAATGTTGTTAGTGCTGGACACTTTTTTTCCAGGGTTCTGCCTTGCCAACTCTGCCTCTGTCTGTTTAAACATTCCACATCATTAGCAAAACTCATGGTTATGAAGTAATATCTCATATATTTTTAAGCATTTTTCAAAGAGAATGATGCACTGTTTAAAAGTACAGTATAATTTGTCCAAACCAGCTACTCCTGGTTCCATAAAATTTGGCCGGATTAGACAGAATCCGGAGTGCCGGAAAAATGCAGGAAAATATTTCAAATTTAATTTCGTTGTTTTATTTATGAGCATAATATATAATATATAAATAAACGATAAAATCAATCAATATTTTGGAGTCTAGAAATTTATTAAAGAGTATTGCATGACTTACTGTAAATTTTTCTTTTTCGTTCACAAAGTTTGGGACTTAACGTGAAATGTTACCTAAGTCAAAATCTAAAGACTCATATACCGTATTATACTATATACATCACGCGGCCCAGGTTTTGCATGTCCAAGAGCGCATTCAATATAACTATAAACTCAACTCTTTACGATTTGATAATTATTGGATTGAAATTTTAATTTTTATGTAAAAATTTACATCTTCCCTCCAATGTAATGGCGCCATTTTGGGATGAGACGTTTGAGTTTCGATCCCGAGTTATATTTTGACTTGCAAATCATGTACCTATATTGCATTGATTTTTTATTATACTGTGTGACATGGAGTTAAAAGCAAGTTAAATGTGTGAGTTATTTTTTTTTATTTACTTGTAGTTTAATCTTATATTTCTTCAAGTGGGCTGAGCAACCACCGCATTTCAGTTCGCCTAATGGCACTCATGTAAACACACGTTAGCACATCTTCACGAAAGGTGTTAATTGCTTTAAAGTAACTCAGGTTGTTATGCGTGGCCGGATTAGAGGAAATAATTGCCGTTAATTATGAGCAGTTGGGACCAGTATGGCCAGAATACAGAATAGACAGTATCCGGTCTACACAGAATTTTTTCTTATACATTTGTTAAAAAAGTGCATGGGACTAAAATTTATAGTCGGAATGGACAAAAATCCAGAGTACTCAGAGTCCGGATTAGACAAATTTTACTGTATAACATCTTTACATTGTATGCTCTTCTCAGAAATAGTTTCTCAACAGCAAATTTCTCTAACCTTTTTCCTCTCTCTCTCTATGTTTCTGAATTGGTCATAACACTCCTCCAGCTTGAGGTGAAGTTCATTTGATGGACCACTTCTCCTAAAGAGTAGAAAACAATCATACATGTATTATCAAAATACAAGAAAGAAAGAGAGCACAAAGAGCATGCTGTTCAGGTCAAAGAGAAGACAATGTACCTTGGGTTTCTGATATTGGGTATAACCTGATGAATCCCTGGATAGATGTAAGGGACGTCCAAATACATTTCTGGAGCCAACATTGGTGGAATCAGTCTGCCATAGGGGTCCACATGGTAGTACTCAAAGGCCTCACTAGGTAAGGCACCAGACGGGGCAAGGAAGTGTGGAGGGGCAATGAAGTTTGGCAGGTATTTGACAAATGCTGGGTGATGAGGTTGTGCCACAGTACCTAATTAAAAGACAAACATAAAATATACAGACAATTAAACAGTTGTTCCTATAGTAAGATTTCTGATAATCATTCAGATATAATAAAATGTTTTCACAGGAAAATCTTTCATTTCTTTCAAAAGAAAAAAATAAAAGTACATTATAAAAAAGAATTATAAAGTAATACAAATTTAAATGCTTATCTGGTAATTCCATCTGTTATCCATTGAATTTAATTCTGCATAGTTAAACTAAACCATTAAAACTGTGCAATTTTCATAAAAATACATAATACAAACTGCATTATTTGTCCAATTGGACGGTTACCTAGTGTCTGAAAGTCTTGCATTGACAGGTTATCCCTGGAGAGTCGTTTGTGGTAGAGGGGGGGATTCGCTGAAGAGTCACCATAGCTGGTGGGTGTCAGACTATGTAGAGTGACTGGGTGTGACTTGTCAGTCATCTCATGTGAGTATTTGACATCGGGGTTCGCTGGTGTTGGGCTGGGGAGGGTCATTTTGGCCACTTTCTGCCTAAAGGCTTGGGAGATGTGAGCATTAGGTCTCCCTGACTGAGATTTGTCCCCTGGCAACACAGACTGGTAGGAAGCAGGCAGCTGGGGAATCTCCTGTATACAACACAATGATTAAGATAAAACACAGATTTTACATGATAGCTACCTCAAACTTCATTTCTGTTTAAAAATAAATAAGTACTGTAAAATTTTCTTTGAAAATTCTTAGTTTTGCCAACCTGGCTCATAATTTGACCTCAATTGTACACAAAGTACCATTCTAAATGCTGCCAAACACAAAGTAAAGTTGTATAAGCATGGAGCAATTTTCATTATTATCATTCAAAAATATACCTGTGACCTGATCTGAGGTTTGTGTTGCACACTAAATCCCTGTGCACTGGTGACTGGAGACAAAGTATACTTGTCAAATGCCTGGTAGTTGTTTCCATTCAGTGACACAGGAGTGCTCTGTCCTGAAGCAGCACATCCCTGATAACTCAACGCATTATGGGTGCTGACTCGGATTGGTTGCAGTATATTTTTACTATCTCCTGTCTCAATTGGCTGAAAACTCTGACTACAATTTCCAACCCCTGCATTCAACAAATTTCCCTGTTCACTTAAAGACTTCATGTCTGAGTTTCTTGGAGAATTTAATGCTTCTGATTTTAAGTTATGATTTCTGCTTGGAGGAAAAGCCAAAGGTGGGGGCACTTCAGGGGGGAACTTTGGGAGTTCAGTCTTATCAAAATTTCCCTGTGATAAGCACTGAGTCTTGGCATACTGAGAAAAGTTTCCCGGTTGTGAATAGTTAGATGTTATAGACTGGCTGTTGAGATAATGCTGGTTGTCAAAAGGAGGCCACTGTGGGCAGGTCTGAGATTCCTTCCCTGATATGCTTTGCTGAGACAGATTTTTGGTCTGAGGAGGAGCTGTTGGCATGGTTTTCACGTCGTACATGCTTAAAAAAGCTTCTGTTAAGTGATTATCCAGATATGTCTGATTTTTCAGGCTTTTCTTGGACTGTTCTATCATAAAGGACTGAAGCAGTTCCAGATCCGGACCATCTGTTTTGGCTGGCAGTGATTCTAGATCCTCTAGGGAGATGTCTGAGCTGAAATCTGATAGGTTATTGTTGATGGTGGACAAGTCCGGATTACTAGGAAGGTTAAAGTCAAATGTATTGTCTTGGGCCTTTGGTGGCATCTCATCTGTCACAGCAGACCAGGCACTGCCAGGGGTGGAGGGAACACTCAAGGAACTGAAATGCATATGCAAGACTACATTAATTACAAATTTTCTTTGCCTCAAAATTTTCACTCAATACTTAGCTAAAAAAACCCTTTTTTTGATGTATTTCATTACAAGGTTTTTAATTTTAACATTTAATCTTACACCATTTTTTTTAAAAAATAAAGATGCGTTTGTGTAGCACTGAAGTGCCCATGGATGGCAGCTTATTGCCATGATTAAGGTCTTCAAAAATAGGTCACATGCCAAGGTTAAGGTCATAAGGTCAAAGAGCCCTTGAACCAACTGTTCAGAGGTTATACAAACATGACAAAGGTTAAAGATTTTCAAAAGTGATCAAATTCTACGATTAATGTCATGATCAAAAATATTGGTACGCAAAGAAAAGGCTTGTCACAGGGAATAAACATGTGAAATATGAAAGCATAAGACCACCCATTCAAAAGTTAACCATCAAAGGTTAAATTTTTTTTGCAGACAGACATACAATAACTATATGCCCTAAATCTCTCATTCCAGGAGCATAAAAATAATCCTTCTGTCTCAAAGTGCATCTTTTCATTCATATGAAATAAAGTCAGTGAAATTTTTTGATTAAATGGTCACTTTATATACAACAGGACAACAAAGCATTTGTGTGCTAATCATTGCATTTATGTTTTTCCCCTTAATATATATGCTTACCCATTGCTCCCTTGGCTGAATGAGAGCTTCAGATTTTTCAGGTTTTGATTAAATGCATAAAGGGAGCTGTCATCATCTAATATCTGGGACACAATGTCATCAAACTTTGAGAACTTGTCTCCATTAGCATTGACATCATACCTAAAAATAGGGATCAAGTAAAAAATGCTTTAAAATATATACTTTTCTATAAATATTTTACACATTTACTAAATATTACACATCACATCACACTTTAAAAGTTTATTACAGTCAAGATTAATCTACAAAATTTTTGTAATTCCATTTTTGATCATTACTCAGTCATCTATGATGTTTTATCAGGAAGTATTTTACATGGTTAATCAATAATTATACAATTCCCGTCAGACATAAGGATTGTTTACGCTAATGAAATATGGAAAGCAAAATCAAGGAAAATCATCAGCACTCATAATTTTCTGAGAATTGATAAATCAATACTTGTATCATGCTTGTCACAGAGAAAAATGCCCCCACAATGGGTAGACTTCATTGTTTACCTCTCACAATAGTTGACCTGGTCAAAGAAGCCCGAGTTCATCTGATTAAATGCCGGGTTTATTGGATTCCCCTCTCCACCCTCTTTTTTGTTCTTCCAGTACAGGTCGAAGTTCCCCTTCTCTGTGACCCCTCCTGAAGAGCTGCCTTGAAAATGCCTCTGGTTGAAAGTTGCCACATCACACATCTTGTTCTTACCATAAGGTTTCTGTAATATTTGAAGATCAGTAAATATCCACATAAAGATCAAGTAATAATATTGCTGAATTTTAGATATATACAAGTAGATATCTTGGCCCTGTAAATGAAATACCAGTGGTAGTTCCAAATGCAAGATGCAGTCCATACACAACATTCAATGACAATTTTATGATCAAACCAAGAACATATCCTCACTCATGTGCACAAAAGCATGCACAAAAACTTTAACTAATCCTTAAACTTAGATAATTTGTGATATGTTTAAATCTCCTAGCTTCATAACAGGTTCTTATGGTTATTGTTGATGACTACAAGATCCCAGGGTAACCCTATTTGAAAATTGACTTCTTTGAGAATTTCATAAAAAATATGTCATGTATCCTATGGTTACTTATTTTCCCATTTTCAAAAAAAAAAAAATGTAGTTTGCAGTGATTTTATAATTTTCACTTAATCCATATTTTAAGAGTGATTAAATTTTCCAATATTTTTCTTTACATGTATTAGGTTCAGAATTATTCAAGTGAATTCAAATAGACCCTGAATTGGGTATAAACAAATAAAACATAATTTAAGCCTTTCGGCAGTTTAGTAAGGGCTTTCCTAAACTTTACTGGCTTTAAAGCAAGATGCCTATGGACCACAACCTCACCTTAGAGACTTGTCCGTTCGTCCTTCAACCAGGCTCCCGGGGCCATGATTTCTGCCCTTAGGGATACTTGAGCATAAGTTTATTTGTGACCTTGCTGTTAGTAGATGAACATCCTTCAAGATTTATTTTTATAGTGTCTTTTGTACTTAACTTTGAAACCACATCCCCCACCCTCAGCCTCAAGGGCCTCAAGGGGAACATTATATAGGGATACCTGTACATTAAACCCATTGATGCAACTTTGTTTTAAAAAGGATTCTAAAGATGATTCCTTTGTACTTTCCTATTCAAAAGTTTCTCTTTTGTAACTCCTTCTAGCCCTTGAGGCCATGTTTTCTATATAATTTGAGGGTGCTTGGGATTTATTCTCTGTTTATGATGATTTTTTTTTCTGTTTTGAGCATCAGATTTCCCTATACATGTATATACTCCAGAGTAAAAATTTGCCCAATCTCTAGCCCAGCCATAAACTTACATACATCTTGTATATTAATCTAGATAACCATCTTCTTACTGGTCTTGAAAAAGATTTAAAATTTTTCTTTCCTTCTATATATATACCTATGTACATGATGTAAATCTCTGCTCCCATCCTAGTAAACTAAAGAAATTTCATAAACCTACTCAACTTTATACAGTCAAACCTCACTATCTTGGACTCAATAGGACCAAGAAAAAACTTTGGGATCTATATACATGGATTCGAGATATCCAGGGTAAAATACTTAGAAAATTAAGGGTTATAATTAGGACTTCCAAATTACATCGACATATCTATGATATTTGAGATATAAGTGTTCGAGATACCGAAGTTCAGCTGTACTTGCATATTAACCATAATCATTGTGTCATTAGGTCTGAAGAAAAAAATGGTAATGTTATACATTTCTATGTACAATTTTGCCTAATTCAAGCCCCAAGGCCTTGAACTGAATAGATCTGAATCTATTATATTCTTTAGGAAAGTTTCTCTTTCATCTTTTCTGGCTGTTTTTTTTGAGAGGATTTTTTTCTTCTTCACCAACCCTATTTTTTTTCTATTTGATAATTATCTCCCTTTGAGAGGCATCCCACACCTGAGGATGACTTGAACCCAGATTGGATGAAATTAGTCCATTTATTTTGGAGAACAAGTCAAAAAATTTGTCATTTCACGATAACTGCAGTACTACTCTTTTGCAGGGCAAATTAATCACGTTTGACAAAGTTTCTGAAGACAAATAATTAAATAAGGTATATTAAACAATTTCTTTTAAGTCATATTTCACCAAATACATCATTTTACCCTGCAAAAGAGCAGTACCACAGTTATCGTGTGTGAATATTGATACACAAAGACCTTTTGAGTTCTTGGCTCAGATGTGTTTAAATGCAAATTACTAATGCTAGTAAGTTTATCAACTTGATTGGGTCATGGATAACTAAATTTCAAACTTATACATCCACATTATGTCTCAGTGTCAAAAAGCTATATTCTCTTTTTTGTACATGTCTACATGGAATATATATCAGATACTTTGAAAATGTCATTTCATTATTTACCTACATCATCAGTTCCTCTATAAAAATTTACAAATTGATGTAAATTAAAGTTTAAGAATGTAATGATTAATGATCTCATGAATGTAACACAGCAAACTCTAGATCATGTTTAATTCACCAGTGTTGGTGAAATAACCATGCCCCTGACGGTGCAAGATGCACAAATTTTGCCGTGGACAAACCAATTTGCATGTATCAACGCCCATCCAGACGTGTTAAAATTTGCCATAAATTAAATTCATATATTGTGATTAATATCTCTGAAATCAAATAATAGTATCAGTAGCTAAGTATTTAAGGGGTAGAATTCAACAGGTTACAGATTCAAGATGGAAGTTAATGGTTACCATTTTACAGTTTAAATTAATTAAATAATTTTTTTCCTTTACTTCTCATGGACTGAACGTCAGGGTTTTGCTGTCGCAAGTATGTTAAATTCTGAGAATATCTGACTTCCTATTTATAAAGGTCATCTCAAACAAAAGTCAAAACCCACATGTATTTGACTTCCTTTTCATAAAGGTCTATCACTATATCTTAAAGTTGAAACAAACAGCTATCAGTTTTAACTGACAGTACACAAAAAATGCTTCAGTCTTCAGCACATGTTCCAATTACAAGAAAATTATCAGGCTATTTGAAATTTCGCCAGTAATACTGATTCAGCTAAAATTTCTTTAGAATACATAACACATCTTAAAATTTCACAGATATATATCTGTTCTCCTTTTTTTTTAATCGGTATCACCAACAAGGATTATTTTAATGAGATGGATCATTTTGTACACTTGAGGATTATTGATAATACCCAACCTTTAAAATATCTTTTTTATAGAATACATTATGGTTCCTGTCAGATTGGAACCTGCCTTTTTTCAATGTGCCTTTTTCTCAAATGTTAATGTAGATTTATAAGTATCCATATGTTATCATAATATATCAGTGAGTTTTAATTATTGCTCTGTCACGTGTGTACTTAAAAATATATTGTCAACATGAAATGGCTGTAATCAACAAACCGTTACGGCATGGCGTTGAAACAAAATTAAACAAAGCGTCCGGCTTTCAAAAAAAAAAAACTACTTCATTTCTTTAAACTTATCAAATAAGGAAAAACCATGACATCAATTCTTATTTATGTTACCAGTCATATTTCGTCATGTCATCATGGTGCCATGTATCGGTCGCAGGCATGTCTGTTGCACGTACCGGTGTTCGACATCGTTTCATAAGTCAAGTACAATCCAATGCCAATATAATTACATAAGAATAATGAATATTACCAATAAATCATAACATTTTTCCATCTACATATATTTACATAATTTCATCTCATTTTTTTATTTTCTATTTTAAGCATTTGTAGTCACAACAGAAAGAAAAGGAAGTGGAGCATACGACATGCATTCTATGCAGTTTCCATGAAAAATCTGAAATAATACCATAATATTCCAACAACAAAGTCAATTTTTGCTTACCTTTTAAGTTTATCTTATGTTGTCAAACAATCGTTGCTTCGGTATATTACTTTTTCACCGTAATTCCTCTCTGATCAACTGCGCCATTGACTTTCATGTTGCTTTGTGTATGCTAATCAGCTGTTACCGACAACTCCCGCTTACAAAAAGCGCCACCTATGAATTTTCTTTTTCGTGCAGTAACCGTCATTTACTTTGCGCGTGTACAGAATATTGTTCATTTTTTGTTCCCCGCTTTTGCGAAAGAACGGGGACATAAAATCGCAAATCGCTTCTCGATAGAATTTGAGAACTTTCATGAATATTTCACTTTGCAAATAAGTATTTTCCTTTCCGAATATACCATGACATTTGACCTCTTGACCTTGAAGTTTGACATCCATTTAAACATTTGACATTGGTAATAACTAAAATAAAATGAGAGAATAAGATAGGGCTCAAGCTCATATTTCACATATGCATTATAATTACCTTTGATAAGACCTTAATAATTATGAGTTTTTGAGCTCAAACTGACCTTGAAGTTTGACCTACTTTTCACAAATTTTAACACAATTGGCAACAACTTTTGAATAGGGGGAGATAGGGCTTTCATATTTTACATCTGCAATACCTGTGACAAAACTTTTTCAAATGACTACTACAATAAAAAAAAAATAATTAAAACAAGATGTGTTTGTGAAACACTAATGCCCCCGTTTGGCAGCTTATGGCAAAGGTTAAAGTTTCTCAAATGCAAGTCAAAATCCAGGTCAAGAGATAAAAAAAAAATTGGTACCTAAAGAAAGGCCTTGTCTCGAGGAATATACCTGTGAAATTTGAAAGCCCTAGCTCCAACTGTTCAAAAGTTATGACGAAGGTTAAAGTTTTTTAAAAGTAAGTAAAACGTCAAGCTCAAGGTCAAATGGGCCCCAAGGGAAGATCTTGTCAAAAGTGATACATATGTTCCTGAAATGTGAAAGCCCAGAGCCAAACGTTCACATGTTATGACCAAGGTTAAAGTTTTTTTTAAAAGTAGGTCAAACTCCAAGGTCAAGGTCAAAATTGTTGGTATCCAAAATCTTGTCCCAAAGAATGTGCATGGGAAGTATGAAAGCTGTAGCACCAAATGTTAAAAAGGTATCCATGGCAAAGATTAAAGATTTTTAAAAGTAGGTCAAACTCCAAGGTCAAGGTCAAAGGGTCAAAGTTGTTGACCAAAGAAGGTCTTGTCACAAGAATTACATATGTGAAGTATGAAAGCCCTAGCACCAACCATTCAAAAATTATGGCCAAGGTTAAACTTTTTCAAAAGTAGGTTAACCTCCTAGGTCAAGGTCAAAGTG